TTCTCTGATTGTCCTGAAACTTGCTCTGTAGACCAGGCTGGTCCTGGATCACAGAGATCTGCCTGCCTCTGCCTCCTGAGTACTAGGATCGGAGGAGTATGCCACCACCACCTGGCAATAAAGTATGACTTTAATGGAAGCCCATGCAGGCTCCTGGGTAGGTCCTTCTTTCTTTCTGAAATCCTGTCTTTCTTTCTTCTAATCCTTCTGATTAAAATTTCTTTTCTTTCTTTTTCTTTTTCTTTCTTTCTTTCTTTCTTTTTTTTTTTTTTTTTTTTGGTTTGTTTGTGTTTTGTTTTTTTGAGATGGGGTTTCTCTGTGGTTTTGGAGGCTGTCCTGGAACTAGCTCTTGTAGACCAGGCTGGTCTCGAACTCACAGAGATCCGCCTGCCTCTGCCTCCTGGGTGCTGGGATCACTCAGTGTGTGCCACCACCACCCGGCTAAAATTTATTTTCAAATATCTTCAATAAACCCTGACTCTGTTTCATATCAACTAGTTCAGAAAGTATTTTTCATGTAGAAGCCAAGAATCTGGTTTTTATCTAATTAGAGTTCCCTAAAAGATCAAGGGAAATGCTTCGGGGCAACTGGAAGTGACAGGATGGAGCTGTGCTTTGTCCCTCCCATCACTGTTATCTGAACACATGAGGTGTCAACCAACCTGAGGGAGGCAGGGCAGAGCTGCTGGCTTTGGGCACACAGAACTCAAGGAACAGCAAAGCATTTGGCATGGAGGCGCTAAGGACAGAAGTATCCGAGATGGTATTACAGCCCCCCCCCCCCAAACCGGCCAGCTGTCCCCAGAGAGTTGCCAGGGAAAAGAATTCACACACACATCAAAACAACCCAGTCTTTGCCTACCTGGGCTGGTACTCAGCATCAGGTTCTTCTGACAAGGGTTATAGCTCCTGGAATGAGTAGAGCCTGCTGTCCAGTTAGGGAATCTGGGGGTGGGGGCAGCTCCTGGAACCCCTGGGACCTAGGGTCCCTCGGTTTCCAGACCCGCCCTCTTCAACTGCCATCCATCGGAATCTATCCTGCCTCAAAGCTCTAGACTCAGTTAAAGGGCCAGAGGTTCTTCTGCCCCTGTTGCAGAGCACAGCATTCCCACCACTAGACTCCTTAGCCTGCACAGCATATCCTCTCTGAGTTGGGTGGTCCCACTGTTGCTAAGGAAATAGTCTTCACTAGGCAACAAAATGAGGTTTCTCTAAAAATTTAAGTCCTCCTATAGGAGGTGATCGTTTTAATTTTAGTTCTGCCACAACTGGACTCCTCTGCTCTATGCCTGTTCACTTGGGATGCTCTCTTCCTTGGACAGCCAGTTTACCACTTACCCATCTACCCATCCACCTACTTCTTCCCCACCTACCTGCAAGGGTCACAGCACGCAGGGAAATGAACCACATTTCCCTGAGAATTAAAAACTTGGTTCAGTCTGGCTTTGTTTATCTGGAGCAAACTTTAGGAGTCTGATGTCAGGCAGTTTATTCTAAGCATGTTTGTTTGTTTATGTTTTTCTAGATGGGATTTCTCTATATTGCTTTGGAGCCTGTGCTGGAACTCATTCTGTAGACTAGGCTAGCCTCAAACTCACAAATTTGTTTGTTTGTTCTTGGTTTTCCAAGACAGGCTTTCTCTGTATATCAGGCTGGCTTCAAAATCATAGAGATCCACTTGCCTCTGCCTTCCAAGTGCTGGGATTAAAGGCATGTCATCACTGCCTGGATGTTAGCATATTTAAACTCAGCACAATTTGGAAAAAAGTTTTTTAGGCAACAATCACTGCAATTCCAGATGCACAATAAAGCTTAAGGCATGGCTACATAGAAACTCCTTTGCAAAGTACAAGTAACCTTTAAGGTAGGTTGCTGTAGCTTAAAGGCCTGGGATCTGGTGTGGTCTCTGATTGAGATAGAGGTCAGCGGGCTATAAAGTGCTTGTGGCATCTCACCTAAGGATGGCTTCTAGTAAGTAAGAGCTAAAGATAAAGCTCTAGGAAGGGAGAGTCTGTGATAAACATTTGGATCTGGCACTATAAATAGCAAAGATCACCAGGTCATTAACAACGTTCACTCCCAGCTTTCTGGGTGGAAAGCAGGAATTTTATTTCTTCCATAAAGAAGATACCCCTGCATGTTCAAAATTCCTAGTTTCCTTAGATCTTATCTGTGAATACAAGAACCTTGTGTCCTCTATACCCACTCACTCACCTACCTCTACATAGTCCCCATATATTAGTCTATTTACTTACCAGATACCCACTCATCCATCTTCCCATCCATCCATTGACCCATCCATCTAGACACTTATCTGCCCATCTATCTAGGGCATACCTACACCCATCCACATAATCATCTGTCTAGATATCCATCCATTCATACACTCACCCATCCATCTATTTAGGAGGGGGATAGTATTCAGTATTTGATAGATGTTACCCCTCTATCTTCTTTCCCTTGTCAGCTGCCAAGACTGCTGTGAAGAATTCTGATCCACCTCAGACAGGCCCAGGGGACACTGCAATGAAAGATCTTCCTGGGCAGAAGGAACTAGTAGCTGTGGACACAGAGCTGCAACACTCAATTACCTGGGGATCCAGATGGCAAGTCCAAGTGGATGCTGGCTGTTGGAAGTTTGCTTGGCTGATATGAGAGCTTTAAGTGGGAGAGGAGAGGAATTTTCTAGATATGTATTTATAAGAATTGCTAGGGGACTAAGGAGATGACTCAGCAGTTAGGAACATTTTGTGCTCTTGTAGAAGAACTGGTTCTACCCCCAGCATCCACATTTCAGGTTAGAAACAACATGTGACTCTAATTCCAGGGGATCCATCACCCTCTTCTGGCCTCTGTTGGCTCTTGCAGATGTGTGGTACATATAACTCATGCAGGTACATATTCCAGCACATAAAAAGAAAAAATAAAGCTGGGCAGTGGTGGCACACGCCTTTAATCCTAGCACTCAGGAGGCAGAAGCAGGCAGATCTCTGTGAGTTTGAAACCAGCCTAGTCTGCAAGAGCTACTTCTAGGACAGACTCCAAAGCTACATACACAGAGAAACCCTGTCTGGAAAAAACAAAACAAAAAAGTGTACTGATGTAATGCTGCTTATTTAACCAATTATGTTTGAGGTGACCTAACTGTCCTAGCTGTACTTAAAAAAGGGCTGCATGCTCCTATTGGGGTTACTGCCATTTTGTACAGGTGAACGGCCTCACACATGCTGGTAAAGTAATTAAAGCTTTTGCTCTTATGTACTATCTGAGCCTGAGGTCTTCCTTCAGTGTTTCCTCTGTGTTACTTGGTTTCACCGTTTGTGCTATGACAACAATGATGAATTTCCTCACTTAAACCAGAAGGCTGTTTCCTTTGAGAAGAAGGCATTCAAATCCACTGAGTGAAAGTTGGAAATCTGAGCTGGGCCTTGGTGGTGAATACCATTAATCCCAGCAATTGGGAGGCAGACACAGGTGGATCTCTGAGTTCGAGGCCAGCCTGGTCTACAGAGTGAGTTCCAGGACAGGCTCCAAAACAATACAGAGAAACCCTGTCTCGAAAAACAAACAAACAAAAACTACTACCAAAAAAAACAAAAACCAAAACAAACAAACAAACAAACAAAAAAAAAAACAGAAAGAAAAAGAAAAAGAAAGTTGGAAATCTGAGGGTTCTGGTCAGGACACCTTATCCTTGGGGCCTCCCAGGCTGGTCTTGATTGAGTATGTAGCTAAGGATGATCTTTTCAAAGTTCTGATCCTTCTGCCTCTAACTCCTTAGTGCTTGTGCAGCCACACTTGGTTTACGATTGTTGGGGATCGAACCCACGGCTTCTTGCATTCTGCATGCACTGCAACAACTGACCTACACCCCAAGGCAGACCTGCATTTTAGCAGTTCCTCTGGCTGGAATTTGGGAAATGCTACATCAAGTAGAGCCTACCTGAGGCAGAGGGAAGCTAGGCAGATCCAGGAGAAGCTGTTCTTCCCACCCTGCTCCATCCAGGCTCCTAACATAGGGATCAGGCCTGTTAGGCACACAGTTCTACATGAGCTGTTTCTGTGTCCTCTTTGGAAGGGGATTCTAGGCCAATTGCCAGTATCCTCTTACTTCCATTGCTATGGGAACACATTCTCAGCTCCAAAGGCTAGTCCCTTTGCACAGGTTCCTATGTTATTTGATATCCCCACGTTGGGAGATAAGAAGCTGCATAGGCCAAGGCTACCTCTAAGATCCTAAGACCATGTGTTAGATAGCAAGGTGAAGGTGCAGCAATAGAGACTTTAAAATGAGCTTCTGCTGCAGCTGACTGGAATGTGAGCTCTGGGCACCTACGCTAAAGAGCAACTGAATGATTCGGAGATTCCAGAAGCATGAGGACCTGGAGTCCTGTGTTAGGGACAATTGCCTTTAGTCTTTCCTCCCTTCCTTTCTATCCTTTCCTTCTCTTCCTGTGTAGCTTTGGAGCCTGTCCTGGAATTACAAGAGACCAGGCTGATCTCGAACTCACAGAGATCCTCTGCTGGGATTAAAGGAGTGTGCCACTACCGCCCGGCCTTGCCGTGATAGTTTCTAAGATCCTTTTCTGAGTATGGGGCTGCACAGAACAGCCTCCTTGTTGCCTAGCTCAGAGGAGAGTTAAGTATGTCCAACTTGAGCTGTGGTTTGCGTTTGCAGTAGCAGGAAGCCCCCGCCCTGAAGTAGGCTGGGGAGGCCGCAGGAGATCCGGACTTCCGGACCTCGTGGACCTCCACCAGCGGCACTGCGAGGGTTCCCAAGACCCCAGCGCAGGCACAGGCCAGGGCGGCCAAGCTGTAATCATCAGCGTGGCGACACAGCATAGGACAGCAGGAGAATCACAAAAGCACATTCTGTCCCATTTTTCACTGCAGACACCACGATCTGCAACTAACGAATCCCAGCGGTCAAGCAGGAAGCGAGAGCCGCAGGCGGCCCCTTTAAGGCACTCCTCCTCCTCTAATTTTTCTGACCCTCGTCGCCGCCCGTTGCCCCGCCCCCTCGCGCACGCGTACTCCCGCCCGCCTACCGCGCCGCTGCCGCCTAGTTTAGGAGCTCGTCTGCTCTCGCGCGCAGGGCCAGCCGACGCGACGCCAGAGCGCCCGGCCCCGCCGCCGCGGCCCCGGCAGGTAAGAGGCTGACCCGGCTCTTTGGGCGCGAGACAGGCGGCGGCCACGAGGGATAGCAGGCTCCGGGATCTACAGCGCCGCACGTGTTCCACGGGCCTCGGGCCGGGCCCGGCGCCGCCTGTGCGGCCGCTCCCCGACCCCACCGCCCCTTGTGGTCGTCATGGCCCGCTCCTCCCATGGCACTCCCCGCTGCGCCCCCAGACCCCTAGTCGTGCGAGCTCCTGGAAGCCCACCTCGGGCTGGTGTCCTTGGCGGTGGGATTCACAGTCTTTCACGCAGCCAGTATCTCCTAGGTTTCCTTGACCACTTGGCGCCTCTCTTATGTTGCCAGTTGCCAGCACATCCTTCACCTGAGTTCCGGTGCAAGTTTCTACCTGACTAGGCCAAACTCTATAGAGTCAGGGGGTTTGTAAGCATTGTCTGGGTCAACCAGGAAGACGAGCACAGTGGTGTGAAGCCAAGGCTACTACTAGGACCAAGATATCCAGGAACCCAAAGAGGATGGGTTGGAGCTCTTTGGGTTGGTCAACTGAAATCACCTGAGTGAACGAAATATTCTGTCTCTCCACACTTGTGCACTCAGTGTCTGGGGTGGCATCCAGGAATCTGCATTCGATTGGAGAGAGAGTAGGGGCGGCTGCCCTCTCATGGTCAGGTTCACTCTAGTATAAAGCTGGTTGTGACTGTCAGTTGACCACCTCCTCAGTGGGCTGTGGACGCCAGCCACATACCACCTGCGGAGTATCCTGTTTAACATACCTACCTCTCAGAGGTGTCCTCCTGCATCCTGCTTTTCTGTAGGCTTTAAATCTGCACACCTGGACGCTCTGTCTAGAATTACGCCCAGTAGAATAGGAAATTGGTGATTTCTTTTCAGACAGACCCATGTAGATTCTGGCATCTCTTTTTAACTACTTTGAACTCCTGAGTCTCCAGCTTCCGGATTGTTATGAGGCAGACTGGCTAACGGTGTTTTGTTTTCTTCCTCGAAGACAGGGTTTCTCTGTAGCCTTGGCTGTTCTGGAACTTGCTCCTTACACGAGGCTGATCTTGAACTCAGATCCCCAAATGTGGGCCAAATCGTGATTCTTTTATATGTTAATATTTGGCATCTTGAAGAAAGACCCTGTCCTCGGGGTATTCGGGGTGGGGATGGTGCTGATGCACACTTTTTTGCCAAGGTCATCCACTGACTGCTAGGTGAATCTCTTTATAAGCTAAAAGAAGCTGCTTAGTTCCTAGAGCCTTCCCACCCAAGAGACCTGCCCTACACTGTTGCCCTGTCCTTTCACTGGGGGAGATCTGCTAGGCTTTGTGAAAAGGAATTTCTGTCCCTTCAGCGTCCTCAGAAGGACTGCTACCTGTATGGTTAACAGAAGTGGTGGCTATGGGAATCCATGATGTGGCCAAATTTACATTAAGAATAATCTGATTGAATGTTTGTGGTGCACGCTTTTAATCCCAGCACTTGGGAGGCAGAGGCAGGCAGAACAAGCCTAGTCTACAAGAGCTAATTTCAGGATGGACAGACTCCAAAGCTACACAGAGAAACCCTGTCTCTAAAAACAAAAACAAAAAATAAGATTCTGGGTCAGGCCCGGTGGGTTGTTCTGTGCCTGTTACACCAACTGTACCCAGAAGCTAAAACAGGCTTTTGAATACCAGGTATGTAGCTATAGACCCTGAACCCACAAAGCTAAAAACACCAAGCAGCTGGCATTTCCTGGGCACCAGAGCTTTGTTCCTTGGCGAGGTCTATGACACCTACCCTCCAATCCTTGCACTTGGGCTCGAGCAACAACAGGATATGTCCTTGATAGAACTGGCTGCAAGTAAAACAGCTTGGCTGCACCTGTGCCCTATGTAGTAGGCATTGTAACTGTTATTCCTCCAGGATTGAAGACTTTGAGACCTGTGTGTGTGTCCCCTTCATTTGTCTTAGTCTTACATGGGGTCTGTGAGGTTTCAGGTTTAATCTCAAAGCTGGAATTTACATCCTGCTTCCTCCCATTGATGACCAAGGAATCCACGGCCAGTGACATTTGCAAGCATGCCTCAGTAGCTCTCCTTTGACTACTACTTCATTTCCCAGTCCCATGGTGTGCTTTTGTGTGGTTTATCCAGGTAATGAACCTATTGCTGTGGTGGAATTAGCTGTTGCAGGCACATACATTTTGGGCTAAGCACTGTCACGATGACCAGCATTTCTGCTTTGCACTGTAACATGCACGTAGTTTGCAGTTTCACTGGTGTTCTAGTTGCTCCTCCGGAGGAAACCTGTAGAGGCATTGGACACTCTGGTTTACTCTTGTAGCTCTTTTGTAGTACCGTATTCCCTGAGTCCTTCAGCTCTGTGAGCTCTTATTTTAGAAGGCAGCTTTGCACCTGCAGCCCATGAGGTCACAGGGAGCAGCTGATAAGTAGTGACCACTGGGTTCATAAAGCCTGTGTTTTCATGATTAAAATTTCTTGGATGCGGTTTTTATTTTTTATTTTTTATTTTTTTTTTTGAGACAGGGTTTCTCTGTATTGCGGGTTGTCCTGGAATTCCACTCTGTAGACTAGGCTGGCCCACAGACTCATAGAGATCCCCCTGCCTCTGCCTCCTAAGTGCTGGGATTAAAGGTGTACAGCACCAACGCCCAGCTTCCTTGGGTGCATTTTAGGGTAAGCTCCCAAACTTCTGCACAGAAGGTCCACCTCCTGTTACTTGGCCTGTCAATTTCAGTCAAAAAAGCCTTTTTAATTAAAAACTGTGTTCAAGGCTCTTTGAAGCAGAGCTCACATGCCTGTACACATCTAGTTGCAGTGGGAAGCTTTTTTTTTTTTTTTTTTTTTTTTTTTTTTGGTTTTGAAACAGGGTTTCCCTGTGTAGCTTTGGAGGCTGTCCTGGAACTAGCTCTGTAGATCAGGCTGGTCTGGAACTCACAGAGCTCCACCTGCCTCTGCCTCCTGAGTGCTAGGATTAAAGGCGTGTGCCATCAACGCCTGGGTGGAAGCCTTCTTGAGGGTCAAGTTTTTCTTAAGCTTGCAAAGAGGTCAAGGGCAGGTCATTACATAGAGCATTTGAAGCTTTAGCCCTGACACAGGGTGACAGGATCCTTAGCTTAGAACACTTTATTAGCTTCAGGATTCCCTTTTTATTGAGAATTATTGCTTTTATACTTGGGGGTGGTGGTCTTATGCGTTAGGCGAATGCTCTCAGTTATTATACTCAGCCCCAACAACCTTTTGTTATTTTGAGACAGGGTTTCTCTGTGTAGCCCTGACTGTCTTAGAACTCTGTATAGACCATTCTGGCATCAAACTCAAGAGATCACCTGCCTCTGCCTCCCAAGTGCTGAAATAAAGATCTGTGCCACCATACCTGACCAAATTTATTTTATGTGTGTTTTTGTTTTGTCTTTTGCCTGCATGTATGTCTGCATACCACATGCATGTAGTCCCTACAGAGGCCAGAAGAGGGCGTCAGATGCTCTCAACTGGACTTAGGGATGGTTTTACGAGTGGAAATCAAACTCAGGTCCCTTCCCAGTAACCTTTTTTAAAGAGAGGATTTGTTTATAGGCCCCATACTCTAGAGTACGCTTTAGCTGACAGCCTCTTCCACTGTGACTCCCCCTTCACTGTGTCCTGCCCGGTGGGCATCAGAGCCATGGCCACGGAGGAGAAGAAGCCAGAGACAGAGGCTGCAAGAGCACAGCCTACCCCTTCCTCATCAGCTACACAGAGCAAGGTATGTCCCAGAGGGACCACTGTGGCAGATAGGCTGGAAAGATTCTCAGGGATGTTATTTCATTAGTCCAGGCTGCTCTGCCCAGTGAGGTATGCTGGCAGTGTCAGTTTCTGACTACATAGCAGTGGTCACACAGAGCCAAATGCTAGGTGCCATCAGATTCTCAGACCTAAGACAGTGGGGGTGGAGTTTAACAATAAGTTTGTTTTGAGGCAGAGTCTTCCTATATTTCTGGCTGGTGAGGAACACAACTTGCAGACGAGGCTAGTCTTGAGCTCATATAGTTATGTCTGCTTCTGTCTCCCTTTCCCCTTCATGTGCTGGGATTAATTTAAAGACATGCCCCACCCTAGTTGGCTAAAAAAAATTTACAAATTCTTGGTGTGCTGAGGTGGGTACTCTAGAGGGGCTTTGATGAGAGTGACAGGCTCACATTGTCACAGTTTGAAGTGTGACATCAGATAAGGTGGTAGTAAGTTCTTGTGTATGAGTTTGGAACCAGCTAATAATTACAATTTGGGCATCAAGTGAGTTCATTGGGTGGTGGTAGTTGCCTCTGGCTAATTTGTACTGTCTCCCACAGCCCACACCTGTTAAACCAAACTATGCTCTGAAGTTCACCCTGGCTGGCCACACGAAAGCTGTGTCCTCTGTGAAGTTCAGCCCCAATGGGGAGTGGCTAGCAAGTTCATGTGAGTATCCTTCAGTTCTTGGCTGGAGAGGAGAGGCTGGCTGAGCTTCAGCTGAGGAAGGTTGGTTAATGGTAGGGGCACTGACTGTTATTTCTTACTGCTTCCATAGGTGTGTTAGCATTCAGCATGTAATTGCTTATTCATATTGCTATTGCCACTCAACAGTGAAGTGGTGGGAGGGGGTGGAGTGGAGTGGCTCCCTGTGTCCATATTTAGTTCACTGAGTGACCTAGGCCCTGTGTTTTATGGGAATAGCTTCAACCTCTTCTAACTCCAGGTCCTTTTCATTTCTTTCAGCTGCTGATAAACTCATTAAAATATGGGGAGCGTATGACGGAAAGTTTGAGAAAACCATATCTGGTCACAAGCTGGTAGGTTTCCTGTGAGGTGCACTGGCTGTTGAGCTAGGTGACTGATTGCCTTGTCTCTCCTGGAGCTTACTCTGTAGATCAGGCATCCTGAGTGCAGGAATTACAGGTGTTTACCACCATAGCCTGGCTTGTCAGGCCTCTTTTTAATGCTGATGGTTGCAGGGTCTTACTATGTAGTCCAGGCTGGTCTGGAACTGCAATCATCCTGCTTCAGCATCAGGTTTGCACGATCACACCTTACTTATATATTTGGTGCAAGCATTTTAAGCCTCTACAGGTGAATGAGTCCAGGAAGCCTGGCAGAGCTGAGAGTAGTGGCCTTTTGCTCTGGGCCAGATGTCTTGTGCTAACACTGGCCAGAACATTTCCTGAGGTCATGGTGCATAGGTAGGGTTTGTCTTTTACTGATCATTTGCTTTTTGATCCACAAGGTGGTAACCAACTGCTTTTCTTTCCCAAGGGAATATCTGATGTAGCCTGGTCATCAGATTCCAACCTCCTTGTGTCTGCCTCTGATGATAAAACTTTGAAGATATGGGACGTGAGTTCTGTAAGTGACAGTGGATGGCTGGTCTTGGGGAGGTCTTCACATATGCTGGGAAGTCCAGGGTTTGTTTCTGGGGATATAGCCCCTGAGAATCACAGAGCTTGGTGTGCTATTCTCTAGGGAAAGTGTTTGAAAACCCTGAAGGGCCACAGTAACTATGTCTTCTGCTGCAACTTCAACCCCCAGTCCAACCTCATCGTCTCAGGGTCTGTAAGTGAGTGGGTCTCTCCTCCGGGGGCGATGTGTGCGGTGTCACATATTAGTGCTTGGTGTGGGCTTAGCCAGGGTGGGGACAGGGTTTGGGTCTCAGGGATCACACCATTGCTGCTCCTCTGTTGCTGTAGTTACTTTAACCTACTGTCTCTCTCATCTTTAGTTTGATGAAAGTGTGAGGATATGGGATGTGAAGACGGGGAAGTGCCTCAAGACTTTGCCTGCCCATTCAGACCCAGTCTCCGCTGTAAGTCTTGCTGATATGTACTCAGCAGTTCCTCTACATGGGAACTTACTTGCCTGTGTGTAGCATCCAGATGACAAGAGGCCAAGACCTCTCTTGGTTCTGTGTGCTATTGTGAGTATGAGGGATACAGCAGGGAATACCATGAGGAACTTTTGATGGCTGAGAAGTAGATGACCTGGGATTTTCAAGGGGGAGCTGTTCAAAAATGGACTTTCACAGGATGGGGGGGTGGTCTAAGGAGTGTGTTTGGACAACCAGGAGCCATGCAATGGGCACTAAACACTGGTAAAGAGAATTTTGAGTAGTGTAGCTTTAATTAGCGGGTGTGGTGTCATCCTAGGGTTTCTGTTGCTGTGATAAAACAGTGAGCAAAAGCAACCTGAGAGTGTCTGAGCTTGGGTTACTCTTGCTATAATGAAACACCATGACCAAAAGCAAGTAGGGAGGAAAGGGTTTATTTTGTTTGTCCACCATTGAAGGAAATCAGGACAGGGACTCAAGCAGGGCCGGAATCTGGTGGCAGGAGCTGATGCAGAGGTCATAGAAGAGTGAGTGCTGCTTACTGGCTTGCTTTTCGAGGCTTGCTCAGCCTGCTTTCTTATAGAACCAGGACCACCAGCCCAGGAATGGTACCACTTACAATGGTCTAGAAAATGCCCTACAGACTTGCCTACAGCTCAGTGTTATGGAGGCATTTTCTCAATTGAGGTTCCCTCCTCTCAGATTCTAGCTTATGTCAAGTTGACATAAAGCTAGCCAGTACAGGAGGGAAAAAGATTATTTTTATTTTTTGTTATTTTGAGACAGAGTTTCTCTATATAGCCCTGGCTATCCTAGAACTCACTATGTAGACTAGACTGGCCTTGAACTCATAGAGGTCTATCTACCTCTGTGTTGTAGTTAGGGTTTCTGTTGCTGTGAAGAGGCACCATGACCAATTCAACTCTTACAAGGAAAACATTTAATTGGGGCTGGCTGACAATTCAGAAGTTTGTCGTCATGGCAGGAAAGATGGAAGCATGCAGCAGATGTGCTTGAGAAGAAGCAGAGAACTCTATCTGGATGGGCAGGCAGCTGGGAGAGAGTAACACTAGGCTTGGCTTGAGCATTTGAAACCTCAAAAGTCCACCCCCAGTGGCACACTTCCTCCAATGAGGCCACACCTCCTAGTAGTGCCACTCCCTGTGAGCCTGTGGGAGCTACTTTCATTCAAACATCACACTTTGCCTCCTGGGGGCTGGAATTAAAGGTGTGCCCCATCCCTGCCTGGGGGTATATTTCATCTTATACTTTATATCACAGTTCCATCATAAAAGGAAGTTAGGGCAGGAACCTGGATACAGGAACTGGAGCAGAGGCCTTGGAGGAACATTGCTTGCTTACTATCTTGCTCTTGTGGCTTGGTCATATGCTTTTTATACAAACTAGGATTACCTACCTAAAGGTGGCATCCCTCACTTCAGGCCATTAGTGAAGAAAACACCCTGCAGACTTTCTACAGTCTGGTCTTAATGGAGGCGTGATCTCAATTAAGATTCCCTCTTTCCAGATACATCTAGGTTTGTGTCAAGTTGACAAAAACCAACCAGCACAGGTGGCATAAGACATCTGTGAGCTGTTGATGCCAGAGTCCTCTGATCTAGTGCCACACAGTGTCAAAACAAGAGGCAAATGTCAAATTGTACATGTGATTATGTTAATGATTATCTCCCCCCCCCCCAGCTGTTCTAATGTAGGCTTTCTGAGGATGACCTTGTTATCCTTAATGACCCTCCTGCCTCTATCTTCAGAAGGCTGGGAATGCCATCATATCTGATTGGTTTATTGACTTTTTTAAAATTTTTTTTCTTCTGGTTACTGGGTATTGAACCCAGGACTGGTGCACAGTAGGCAAGTATTCAACCATTGAGCTGTATTCCCAGCCCAAATTGTGCCAAATATAGAAATGGCTCATTTAGGTGCCAACCAGTGCAACAGAGAGACAAACGCTCCATTGTAGAGCATTCACCTAGCATTCCTGAGACCCTGTGCTTACTCTCCAGTCCCTAAGAAAGGAAGGGCTCAAAGGTTCCTGTATCAGTAGAACCAGGATGTTTCTTAGCTGCCTGATGGCAGAAGAAGCATGTGTCATCACTCTGTTGTCTAGCTGGACTGGATTTGCTTTCTAAAGCCCTTAGTTTAGGGTCTTAAGCCTTTTATCCTTGCAAGGCTTTGGCTCAGCAAGACCACCCATGTCATACAGTCCTGGTGTGCATGTAGCTTTCCTGGTTTACAGCCACTGCTATTGTAACCAGTGTTGTCACAAAGACCCAGCTTGACTTGCTAGCTGGCTGCTCTCTGGGGTTACATAGGACACGGTAAGGTAGAACTTGTTTTCATACAGAGGGTTAACTGAACACTACTAAGAAAGTGAGTTTGACTGAGGGGGTGTGAGCAAAGAGAGGCTATGTAGATATGGGTCAGGGATGGCTACTGGACACTGAGGCAGGAAGAGGGTTCCCATCAGGTCTCCTATAGAAGCTATGTGCCAGTTGAACTCCGTAGGGCAACAGAGCAATAGCCCCTGGGTCAGCTGCACTCACTCTGTCCTTCTGGAGTCTTCTGGGTTTTTTTTTTTTTCCTTTTTTTTGGGGGGGGGTGGATTTTTAAAATTTTATGTGTATGAGTGTTCCCTACTGCATTTATGTGAACCATGTGTGTGCCTGGTACCCATGAAAGTCAGAAAACGTTGGGTCCTCTGAACTGGAGTTAAGGGTGGTTATGAACCGATATGTGGCTGTGCCAAACCAAACCTGGGTCTTCTAAAAGAGCAGCAAATGTTCTTGTCTACTGAGCCATCTCTGCAGTGCCACCCTCCTCATCCTTTAAAAACAACTAATTAATTTAGAAACAGGGTCTCAGTATGTAGCTTGGGCTGGACTAGAACTTGCTGTATAGACCAACCTGACATCAAACCCACAGATAGCTGCTAGCTTCTGCCTTCCCGATGCTGGGAATAAAGATGTAGGCCACCATACTCAGTCCTGGTCTTCAGCTTTAAATGCGCACCCTTCACCAGGTGGTGGCACACACCTTTAATCCCAGCACTTGGGAGGCAGAGGCAGGCGGATCTCTGAGTTTGAGACCAGCCTGGTGTACATGAGCTAGTTCCAGGCCAACCTCCAAAGCCACAGAGAAAACCTGCTTCAAAAACCAATAAATAAATAAACAAATACGCACCCTTTCTCATGTGATAGTGGCACTCCCTAACTGCTGTCTAGTGTTACCTTCTAATTGAGAAAAGCCTATAGGGTATCCATGTACATCTATGTTCCCGGCACCCACTTAGGGCCCCTCAAAGAAAGTTTTATTAGGACTTCTGTCAAAGAGGAGGTCTGTTGGCACACCTTTGCACATTCACAGGATACTAGAACTGGAGACTTAGTTAAGGGGCATCCAATCTTTGGATGCCCCTCAGAGTTCACATCTAGGCCCAACCTTAACTGAAGCCTCTTCCTATACTCTCTCCCTAGCTACAGCCTTGGCCTGTGTGTTTTCACTATATGTTTGGGACCCTAAATTATTTGCTGTGTCTCACCTCTAGCAGAGAGTCCAGTTAATTGGTCCAGGATGGGTCATGGTACCATGTGAGTTTGCTACCTGCACATTATGTGCATCAAAAGTCAGGTGTCCATATGGACTCCTTATCCCTAATGTCTTAATAAGAATTTGTTTTGGGTATTAAAGGTAGGGATTAATGTGGTAGTTAGATTGTTTTGAATTAAGGAAGGAACTTTTCAGTGGCTGGAAGTTATGGTTGAATGGCTGGCTGTTCAGCATCAGGCATGTATTTGCCAACTGTAGAAAATACTATAGAGTCCAGCTTAGTCCATCAGGTTTGTGATGGCAAGAGTCCCTGGAATTTGAAGATTGTGTGTAAGTTTTTGTGAATGCCTGTGAACCTAGCCCATAGGGAGCTGAGGTAGGAGCTTTTCTTTTTCTTTCTTTCTTTCTTTCTTTCTTTTTTTTTTTTTTTTTTTTTTTTTTTTGGGGGGGGGTTCTTAGAGTTTCTCTGTATTACTTTGGTACTTTGGAGGTTGTCCTGGAACTAGTACTGTAACCAGGCTGGCCTTGAACTCACAGAGATCAGCCTGCCTCTGCCTCCTGAGTGCTGGGATTAAAGGTGTGCACCACCAACGCCTGGTGGTAGGAGTATTTCTTAAGCTTGTCACCATACCAATGCATTGAGAGTTCATCTATAAAAAGTTTGTCTTCAAACACACCTGCCAAAGACTCAGTGAAAGTTATAGAAGTTGCAGAGATAGACTCAACTCCTGGCGCTAAGATTTAAGCAGGGCTGGAGATGTAGTCTAGTTGGTAGAATGTTTGCCCAACCTGTACCAATTCTTGGGTTCCATTACCACTATTGCGTAAGCATGGACATGGTATTATATGCCTGTAATCCCAGCCCTTTGGCAGAAGCAGGAAAATTAGGGTATAAAAGCTACAGCTACATAGTGAATTCAGAGTCAACTACAGCTACACAAGATCCTGTCTCAAATAACAAAAAAAAAGTAAACACTGAAGTCAGTTACAAGAGGGCCTGGAGTTTACCCACGTGCACCAGGGGCTCACAGTGAGGTTTGCACAGTGGCCTGAGTCTCATAGCTGATCTGTCCCACTAATGATGTGGAGTACCAGTGATCATAGACTCAGGTTTAATGAATGAGTGTCTATTGCTGGTGGGGGAAAGACTTTTGGATGTGCCCCCCCCCCCAGTTGTATTGGACTTGTTAGGTGCCAAAAGGGAAGGTATGTGTTGAGTTCTGTGGTTCAGGATGCCATTGGGATCCGGAGCCACATGTTACTGATTAGGAAGTCAGCTTCTTTTCCTCCTTTAATTTGTAGGTTCATTTTAACCGTGATGGATCATTGATTGTTTCCAGTAGCTATGATGGCCTCTGGTAAGTGAGAGTCTTCTTCATGTATTGAACAAATGTTTATGGCCTGCTGTGCTGTTGTTCCAGCTCTGTGGTTCAGCAAAAAGAGGCGACACGTGCCTCACCTTCCATAAGCCTGTGCCCCCCCCTCTGATTGCAGGACCTTGATAGTGTGTGGGACATAGTTCAGGGGATGAAAACCTATGAAAAGAGGTGTGATAGAGATGGTGGCTGAGAGGCAAGACCACCCAGGGCAGAGTGAGAGCTGTGAGGTCTTTGCATACCCCCCTGAGTGTGCCCTTTCAAAGTTGTAGGAAGTGAGTAAAGGGGCTGAATCCTTGGGGTAAGTCCACAGATCCCATGAATTCTGGGCAGGTGAACCACCAGATCTCATTGTGTGAAAGAGAGGAGAAACCAGAGGTGTGGTCTACATACAGAGCTTCTAGCAGTGTATGGTGTTGTGGACATGACTGCTGGGTACAAGTGTTCAGGGTTCTTTAGGAGACAAGGGAGAGTGCAGGTCACTAGAGACAGGCTTATGAGTTAAGTGCTAGTTGCACCCTAACTTGGAGATCATAACTGTGTTGATCTGTGTTGAACAGAAATAGAGGCTGATTAGAGAACAAGGTGAGTCACGGGTGTTGGTGTATGGCAGCGGTGATGGGCTGGCTGGATACCCTCACTAAAGGCCATCCTTGGCTTTGCAGTTAAAAAGACCTTGGATGTATTTAAATATACCTAAAATTACAGATACCTAAAAATGAAGTGTTTTAGCTGATCAAGTGACTGACACCTGTTCAACAAAGTCCCCAAGAATTGATTTGAAGGATAGGACAGGGCAGAGTGCCTGGAGTGAACCAAAGGAACTAGAAACTTTTGTGCCCCAATCAGAAGTGACCAAAAGGCAGAGAGTAAAATCTAGGCCTAACATAGGTGACTTAAATTTTGCTTATTTTTTGTGGTGCTGCAGATAGAACCAAGCCTTGCATTTGCTCAGCCAGAGCTTTGCCATTTTGAACAGCGCTGGGCTGGGACTTAGGAAAGCCACTTGGCACACATTACAGTGTTGAGTGATACGAGCTAAACATTTTCTTTCTCTTTGGAGGTGGCACAAACTTTAGCAAAAAGGCAGTTCTTTCAAAAGAAAGATAAGTCCATTAAACCTTGTTTCAGTTGTTCCAGTCTGGTGTGTGTTACTGTGCTGTCACTGTCATAGGCAGAGTGGCCACCAAGAGACTTCTAGTGGAAGTACACTTCAAACTTGAATTTTCCAGAATGAGTCCAAAGCATGGCAGGTTGGGGAGATGGTAACAGGAGGACCACAGGTCTGTAAGAGTGGGTTGGCTGCACCAGTCTGCACCCAGCACACAGCCCCATCATGGGGCTGGATATGCTGATGGGAGATGAATACCTGAGCCCTGGCTATTGCCTGGCAGGGTGCACCTGACTACCCAGGTGGTAATAGCATTTAGGGCTGTGGTCACCTAGGTGTGCTATAGCACAAAGACACCCCTCTGTGCCAAAGTAAAAGCCATAATCCATTTGAGATCATTCTGTTTGCCACAAAGAATAATAGCAGGTGGCAAAGATGCTGGAGAAAAGTCGGGGCACAGAGCCCCTGCACCCCCCACGTCTTTCCCTCCTGGCACCCAAGTATGTTGACCAGCCAGTGGTATAGACAATGACCTAGAACCTTCAGACCATGTGTAGACTTGGCTTTAAGAAACTTTCCAAGAAGTTAGGAACAGTTTATTGAAGAAGTTGGCAGGAAGGAGCTTGGGAAGCTAAAAGATGATGGGGCACACCCTTATCTAGCACCCTGGGAGCAGAAGCTGGCACGGTTCAGGATTTGAAGACAGCCAGGGCTGCATGGTGAGACCCTGTGAGAAAGACAGAAAAAAGTGGAGTGCAGAGAAGGGGGAACCAGTTATATAAGGCATGCTTGATAGGTAAAGAGCTAAAACTTAAGACTCAGAAGTAAAGATGAGCAAGAGAGGTGTGTGCCCCAAGCTCAGAGAGGACAGGAACACTAGCAGTGCATTACACTTGGCCCTCTTTCCATAAGTGAACCCTGGAGATGTGCTCTGTAGTCCACCACCTAAAGAGAGCTGGAGGAAGTGATTCAGAGTCTGAAAGTGCTGTTGGGATCTTAAAATTAATTAACCAATTAGTTTATTAGAGACAGGTTCTCATTTTGTAGCTCTGGGACTCAAATGCAGGCACTCAAAATTGAAAACATTTTAAAAACTAGAAAGCCACTTATGTGGTCCTTCTTCCCTTGCTGCATCTAATTCCTGCCATCCTCACTTGTCACTTGGGAAGTGTAGGTAAGCATAAATACATTCCAGTTGTCTCTCAGCCAGGAAGTGACAGATCAGGGTTCCCCCTTCTGAGTCAGCTGTATTGTCCAGCCTCTCTGGGACCTCAGCACCTGCTGTCTGAGGTGTGAGGATATTATGCATTTGCCAGGGTTTAAGGTGACTGCCCCCCCCCCCCATCCCACCTGGAGTTAACCAGATAGATGAAGGATGCTTTCATAGGAGAGGTGGAGAATGTGACTGCCTGAGCACACATTCTGGGGAGTTTAGGATGGAGTCAAAAATCCATCAGTCACTCTGAGCCCCTGTGCCAGTAGGTAGTTGGATTTCAGTCCCTTAGGGTGTTTTTACTATTGTTACAAAAGTGGATTTAAAAGAGGTCAGCAGGTGGTGCATGCCTTTGGTTCTTTAAACCCAGCACTGAGAAGGCAGATCTTTGTGAGTTCAAGGCCAGCTAGAGCTACATAGTGAAACTGTTCTGGAAGGGAGGGGGAGGGGCTGGCTAGAGAGATGGCTCAGTGGTTAAGAGTACTGGCTGTTCTTCCAGAGGTTCTGAATTCAATTCCCAGCAATCACACGGTACCTCATAACCATCTGCAATGAGATCTGGTGCCCTTTTGTCTGCAAGCATACAGACAGAACACTGTATACATAAGTCTTTTGCCAAAAAAATGAAAGAAAAACCCACAGAGGAGTCCAGTCATGGCAGTTTATGTTTGTCATAGAGGCATGAGGATCAAAAAATAAAATAGAGCCTGCAGACAAGTGTCACTGGGTATGTATTTAGAAAATTGAGCAGAGAGGAAGAAAGGGCTGTTACTTCTGGATCAGACTAGCTTGTTTCAAGAGTGGAAACCCTCAGATGTGGAGAGGCTGGTGTTGGGGGAGGAGAGCCTGATTGCCTCACCTTGGGTGTGGGATATGGGGCCTGGCCTGGGTTAGGTTTCAGATGCAGTGAGAGCATGGGGGCCTGTTTGGGAAGCAGCCTAGCAAAGAGCCAGTGTCCCAGCATCTGGGAGTTTGCTGAGGAAGTGTGGATTATTAGCAGAAGTCACAGAGCTGTGTCAAAGCCTGGCATACCTACCCTCTCTGGGATGGTTATCTCTGAACACATTCCTTGTCATACACTTACGGGGATATCCAGAAAATGCTACAGACTTTATTTTGTGACAACTCAGCCCTCTGTGGGATACACCAGCCATTGGTGGCCCTTAAATTAGGAGAATATAGAGAGGACAGGCGTCTTCATTTTGTTTTGGTTTTTAAAGACGGGTTTTGTTTCTTTTCTTTTTGGAGACAGGGTTTCTCTGTAACCCTGCCTGGAGATCAGATATTCTTCATGCCAGGTTGGGAGACAATCCTAGTACAGGTGATGCTACCCATATGTGCACATAAAGACAGAAAGTAATTGTTGAAGCTATGGGTATAGTGTGGCGCTATGGGATTGGTGACAGCACTTAACCAGCAATCAGCTTTCTTACATATGATGTTCTTAATTGACAGCCGCATCTGGGACACTGCTTCTGGCCAGTGTCTGAAGACACTCATTGGTGAGTGCTTGGTTCTGTCTGGGGGAGGGTAGGGTAGAGGGGGAGTTAGGGCAGGCTTTCCCAGGTCTGCCATGTCCTGATGGTCCTTACAGAGTATCTATTTTCAAGAAATCACCTTTCCCTTCTGTCCTGGGCTTCCTTACTCTGGAAGACTCGTGGTGTTTCCGTCCCACCCTCCTTCCTGTGGAACCTTCCATGTCCCTGTCTACCCCCAGCCCTCCCCTCCGCCTCCATCTCTCATGCTCACATGGGGACCTTGGAGTGTTTTTCATTGTTGAATAATGTAGCTCTTTAGGACCCTACACTTTTCACCTGTGTTCATCAGCCTCAGCTTGTCCCTGGCCCCTTCCTCCCTGGAGTTGGGGATACATGTTCACCTACTGGGATACTACAGGGTGGGCAGAGTGTCAGGAGTAGGACAGATCTTAGCTCACAGGTGGGTGGGTGGGTTTTTGGAAGCATGTTACTTGGCCCAGCTGGAGTTTAGAACTTTTAGGTCAGCAATGTGAAGGATTGGCAGGCCATTTTTTTGCCAGACTGACTGACTTTGGAGGTGGATAGGCTGATATGGTGAGTTGCTACCACCTTAGGCTAGTGTGGCCATTGTGGCCTGCCAGCTTGCTAGGATATTGCCTGTATTGGCAGAGAAGACAAGAGCTCATTCTCAGTTGGAGTTTAGGTGGCCAGGCAACAAACATGGGCAGAGTGACTCCTGACATCTCTCTGACTTGCAGATATCATATACACACTTGTGTTTCTTTGTACTCAACTGCTTAATGACATGCTCACTTCACATTTAACACACCCCACTACTATCATCAATGTGTGATGTTCTCTCCAAAGCAGCAACTTGCTGTAGCTCTGGGTGAGCTTCACTAGTTTGGGGGCACAGTTCACCCTGGGATAATAAGGACTTTTATGCTTTTCTTGCTGTGTGGAGCCACCCTTGGTGCTTCCTGATTTCTCAGAGCAGTTGCAGATGTCGGGTAGTAAGCCTGTACATGTCACTCCCAGTCCTCTCTACCAGGACCTTTAATCATGTAGCAGCTACCAGAACACATATCTAGTGCTTGTGTTACCAACTTGTAACCATCTGCTACCCTGTGGGCAGGGATGTTGTCCTCAGTTCACAGGGTAGCATCTTAGGCAAAGAGGTCAGCTAGCTGGAAAGCTGTATAGCAGGTCCAGTCATCCCTCAGTATCTGTGAGAGAGGAACCTTTTATGGAATCCAAGGTCCTCAGATGCTCAGGTCCCTTATTTGAAATGATGCAGCGTTTGCATGTGACTTGTGCACTTCCTCCTGTGGTTTAAATCTTGAGGAGCTTTAAAATAATGGATGTGTGGATATAACAGGTGCCAGAAGGCACAGTTGGAATGATATGCAGTAGGCAGGTATACATCCAGTTCAGTGAAGCTATCATAGGCAGCTCAAAGAGATTGACACAGGATGGGGATTGCCAGAGTTACTACATTCACTTAAATTAGTTCAGCAGTTGTCCTTGGAAATAGTTGAATTCTGTTTGGTTTTGTGGGGTTGTGGGGTTTTGTTTGTTTGTTTGTTTGTTTGTTTTTTGTTTTGTCTTATTTTTGTCACAGGGTCTCAACTGTGTAGCTCTGGCTGGCCTGGAACTTGCTTTGTAGACCAAGCTGGTCTTAAACTCAATAGAGATCCACCTGCTTCTGGAGTTCTGGGATTAAAGGTGTGCAATACTATTATGCCCAACAAATTCTGTACTTTTTTTTTTTTTAAACCAACTGTATTGTATGCCTACCCCACCCCCAGTACATCATGCAACAATGTATGTGTATATCATAGCACATGTGAGGAGGTCAGAGGACAGTTTTCAGGAGTTAGAGCTCTTCTACTGTGAGTTCTGAACTCAGCTTGTCAGGCCTGTGCAACAAATTCATGAGCCGTCTCACCAGCTCTTAGTGGTTTTGCTGTTGTTTTGATTTTTGTCTATTTATTTTTTATTATTCATTTATTTGACATAATGGCTGCAGCTCCCCCTCCTTCTCCCAGTCCCTCTCTCCCATCCACCCCCCCTCTTCAATCTCCATCTAGGAAAGGACAGGTTTCCTCCTAGAGCATCAATAAAACATGGCAATCAAGTGCATTAAGACTAAGCATCTCCCCATGTATTATCATATCAGCCCTGGGGCTTAAAACTTGTAGAATGCTTTGTTTTCTATCAGTTGTTGGCTAAACTGTGGCCTGTTGGTGGACAACCAGGTTGCAGGACTAGGATTTAAATCTGGGCAGGCAATGGGCAGTAAACCCTAGACTGAGCTAAGCAGGCCTATTTGGCCTGAGGTCTCTTTCTTTTCTCTGTGTCTCTTCAGGTTTAAAAACTGATTTTCTTTTAGAAAGGTTGGCATTTCAAAAACAGTGTTTGTTTTTGTTTTGTGTAGCCCTAGCTGTCCTGGAACTCAATTTGTAGATCAGGCTGGCCTCCAATTCAGATCCCCTGCCTCTGGCTCCCCAGGGCTGGGATTAAAGGCATGGGTTACCACCACTTGGCTAGAAATTAAGATTATCATTAAGGTTTCATCAGTACAGGTCAGTGATATTTCACCAGGGATCTGTTTCAGATCCTGGGGAAGGAGCACAGGTACTGTTCTATGTCGACTGATACTGAATGGCCTTCTGTGACCTCAACTGGCCTCACTCTGTCATGTCCCTTTCAGTGTATGTGATCAGTCCCACGGAACAGAGACCCCAGCGAACCTCTAGTGGTAATGTGTGTGTCAGTGTGCACCAGTCTTTGTATGCACACCTCAGGGCCTGGTACAATTCCTTGGCTGGCCAGGCAGGTCCGCCCCAGGACACACTCTTCTCACCTAGCCTTGGGGCAGATCCCCAAGGGCCCACTGTGAAAGAGGATATGGCATCGTTTTTCCCTGGAAAATAGCTTTAATGTGGGCAGTTTCTAGGAGGCCTGGCTCCTCAGCAGTGCTGCAGCCTCCCCACCTCTCACTGAATGCTGAGGTTAAGTTACAGCAGGCAGAGGTGTGGCCATCATGGAAGGAGGGCTTGCTTAACTTCAGAATGGGAATATGCCTATAGGACCACCCTAGGCCAGGCAGCTTTCTCCAGGGGGATCAATTGTTCAGCTCTTCTGGGGAGCTTTGGGCCTCCTTTCACATGTGGTGAAACCTCATAGTAGCAGGGCACAGGGGTGAAGACTTAGGAAAGTGAATGACCAGGGAAGGTGATGGGAGATGGAATGTCAGGCTTTTGGAGGGCTTTCAGGAGTAGTGGTAATAGCACAGGTGGCAGGGGCCTCACACAGATGTCCTCCCACATGGGTGACAGGGAGCTGTCCTGCCTCTCTACTCTGCCAAGAGTCAGCCTGTCTTTGTTCTGTGTAGATGATGACAATCCTCCAGTGTCCTTTGTGAAGTTCTCTCCAAATGGCAAATACATCTTGGCTGCAACTTTGGACAAGTGAGTACTTACAGCCTTCATTGGTGGGATTCCTCTCTTCTAGTAGCCTAGTTGAGGAGTTTTACATTTGGGCATTAGTGCTGGCCCTGGACTGTGTGTGGGCTGAGGGGCTGAAAAAAATGCTGTCCACTCCAGATAGTTCTAGTATGGGAAAGATTTCCTACACAGAGGTGAAGCAAGACAGGTGGCCTCTGAAGGCCTTCTTGGGCCTCCGAGTTCCTTGACTTTTGGTGTGTTTCCTTTCAGTGCAGGGCTGGAGCCTATGGCCTCACACTTGTTATTAAGCCAGTTCTCAGGCTCTGAGCACCTTCGTGTAGCAGAATCGCACTGTTACACAAGCTGACTCCCTTCTAGGTGCTCATGTAAGCTGACACACTGTACAGGGTCTTAAAGGAACCTTGCCTGCTCATCCCTTTGAGAGGTGCCTGATTGGCATTATCCTGGTTAGCCTACCACTTCTCCCCATGATCAGCATGCACCTCTGTCCCAAGGATGAGTGAGCAAAAGATGCTTCCTGTGAAGTTTGTCCTGGATGTTTCTGGTTTTTTCCCACATTCTGCTTGTGGGTAACCCCTGGTTTTGGGAAGACAGCTAGCAACCTCTTCAGTCTTTCTCTGAATTACAAGTACTAGGATCCTTGTGTTTGCTCTTGTGTGCCATGGAGTGGCTAAGCCTGATGGACTGAGGGTCCTCTATCCTGACACCCATGGTTGTTGGGAAGTGGTGGCATCAGAGGCAAGGCATGGCTAACAATGGGCTGTCCCTCATTCCCACTCTTTGTTTCAGCACACTGAAGCTCTGGGACTACAGCAAGGGGAAGGTGAGCTTCAGGCACGCGGCTGGCCTGGCTTCCGCGTGCCAGCCCCAGGTAACAGGTTGAGGGGTGGTGCAGCAGCAGACCCAGGAGTTGAAGGGAGAGACTAAGAGCCTATCGTTAGCCTTCAAAAGAAGACTGAGTCTTCTCATAAGCAAGTGTGGTACAACTCCCTTTAAATATGTGGTGTCTTATTAATGGCTACTCTGTCTATGGGCTTTGCCCTTGTATGTGTCTACATAGTTTTTAGGCACTGGTCAGACGTGTGTGCCTAGTAGTTGGAATCCTATGAAATGAAAGAGAACCACAGGTGCTAACAATGTACGCCCACCTTTTCAGTGCCTGAAGACATATACTGGCCACAAGAATGAGAAATACTGCATATTTGCCAACTTCTCCGTGACAGGTGGGAAGGTGAGTCTTCTGCTGAGCTGCTTATCCCCCTGCCTGCTCTCTCCTGAGAGGCCACTCATCACAGGTGGCTTCATGTCTTTATGAAGCTTTCCTGAGCCTACGGAACAAACCCATACATGCCCTTCTGGATGGAACTATGGTATCTTGCACTTGAATCTGGTTGAAGATCTAAGAGCAGGTGGTGACTGGATAGAAACTTAGACTCACTGAGGGGTGGTGTGGGAGGCATTTGGCGCGTCCCCAGGTAGGGGGAATGAGGGGTTAGAGTGGTACCAGGCAGCTTGCCTGTTGCTACCTACTCAGCACATAACTTCCTGGTTCTTGCCTGTCCTCACTGGCTGCCTACTGTGCTACTGCAGTGGATCGTGTCCGGTTCTGAAGATAACCTGGTGTATATTTGGAATCTGCAGACCAAGGAGATTGTGCAGAAGTTGCAAGGTCACACAGGTGGGCAGTCATTTGGAGATGGGTCATATGGGTGGGTGGAGCTTGTTACTGTTCCTGGCATTCTGAGCACTGCCCCTAAACCCTCTGGTGCTCCCTGTACTCCTGAGGCCAGCCAGGCCTGTGCTGCCATTGCTTACCCTGGAGTAGCACCTGACTAACTCTCTTCCAGATGTTGTGATTTCCACGGCTTGCCACCCGACAGAGAACATCATTGCCTCAGCAGCATTAGAGAATGACAAAACAATCAAACTGTGGAAGAGTGACTGCTAAGTCCTGACTCCACAAGAGACTTCAGGAAGCCGCCCGGATTGGCAAGAAACACACGTGGGACAGAGGTGTGGGGCCAGGCTGGGGTGACAGGCCTGGTGCACCTCCTCTCTGAAGATGTCGGGTCAGGGGAGTACACACTACCGAGTCTTGATAGCCACTGTGACATTTCTTGCCAATTCTGTCCCTACCTGGGGAGTTTCTGGTCTGTGCTCAGAGGCAGCAAATTTTTAATTTTTTATTACGAGAGTGAGTTCAACTCATCATTTTCCCCAGTAATTGTTCTGTATTTTTTTGGTATTGTATTGCCCAGTGCACACACTGGAGCAGGACCTGCAGCCCCACTCCCGTTCCCTCCCTCCAGCCTTGGCCTGCTTGTTCATGTTCCCTGCCTATAATAGTACCCAGTGTGTTTCTAGGACTTTCTGGAAACATAGAAAGATTGTAAGTTGTGTCTGTGTCAAGTCCCTTTGTATTTTTGGAGTTCATAGGTCAACACTGACCTCTCAGTGGTTGCACAGTGTCCCCTTGTCACTGGTGTCACTCAGTAAGCTACATACACTGTAATAAAAGGTGGGCTTGAACCCTCTGTGGCCCTAAGCTCTGGTGGGAGCTCATCCACACCTGGTTTTTAGAAAGTTACCCCCAGAGCAGGGGTGGAAAGGTCTGTGGGAAAATGGTCCTTGCTATGCCTTTTCTTTCCCATTGGCTGCTGTGGGCACTGAGTGTTTTGAGAGGAAGCCTCTCAGTTGAAAAAGAATGGAAATCTTGGACAAGCATCATGTAGGGGAGGTTCTGGTCCTCTCCGCTTTTCATGAGGCTCAGGGTCACCTTTGCAGGAGGGAGGGGTTCAATGTGGTGCTTGTTCCAGCAGGTACAGCCTCCTGCCTTGACCTCTAACCCCACCAGCCTCTCTCAGCCCCTGCCTCAAATGGATCCTCTGGTGTCGTGCGTGACCAGAACTGGGAAGAGGTGATGGCCAGACTCAGAGCTGCACAACATTTTCACAATTTCACCTGGCCATACCCAGGGTGGCCTAACATGGAACAGATTGCAGAGGTTCTATGGGTGTTTCTGGTCCAGATGGATGGGTGAGGCTTCTGTACAGACAGGGACTGAACAGGGCTACAGAGAGGTTCTGGGCTTGCTCTGGCTCCAGCAGCCTGTTTAGCCAACAGATTCATATGAAGCCAGGTCATAGAGGTCTGTGGCTGTTTGAGGGCCTGTCCTCAACCTGTGGTCCTGACAGCTATGTGTTGACCACTCCATGGTGGCAAGAAAAGAATCCTAAAAGGGGTTGGAAAAGGTACCTCCTGCACACTCCTGTCCCCTCCTTTCGGGAGATGTGCACATGGAGTTAAAGAGGGTGGCTTGTCACTGACATGAGGGTTCTGGGGCCCCTGGCATCTTTTGGATAGATGTGCCTGGGTTCTGGTCAGCGTTGTGGGCCATGTTTCTGTGGGGTTTCTGGAGGGGTGTTGAGGTCCTTCCAGCTGTGGCCTGGTGTGTGGGCCCTCTCCTAAGGGAGGGAGCTTGCTTGCCATGCTGAGCACAGTTTCCCCAAGTATAGTTTATTTTTTCTACAGTTGAACTCTGTTGTAGATTTATGTAAAAATACATTCTCTTTTTGAAAATAAAAGATTTTCATGTCTTGTAATTTTGTCTCATATAACTTCTTCTAAAGGAATTCGTTTTGACTGGTCATGGTGGCACGTGCCTTTAATCCCAGCACTTGGGAAGCAGAGGCAAGCAAATCTCTGAGTTCAAGACCGGCCTGGTCTACAAGAGCTAGTTCCAGGACAGCTTCCAAAGCCACAGAAAGCCTGTCTCAAAAAACAAACAAAAAAGGAATTCATTTTGTATCCATAGATAGGTTGCATGTTCGAGGTCAGGGGACAACCTGATGTTTCCTCCTCCCACCATATGTGTCCTGGCATAGGACTCTTCACCAGTCACTTTGCTGACAATTCTATAAGAGTTTCTTAATGTGGTGGTGGCGCACAATTTTAATCCCAGAGCAAGTTCCAGGACAGCCAGGGGCATACACAGAAACCCTTCTTGAAAAAACAGAATTTCTTAAATTTTATCAGGCAAGGCAATGCATGCCTATTAAGGAGTTCCAAAGATCTCTGAGAGAAGGAAGCAGGAAGCTGCAAGAAATGCATGAAGATTGTGGTGGGGATTTAGACAATTTTATTGGAGGTCTGCAGCAAGTCACCCTATAATCCTGACACCACATATATTCAAGATCAACCTGGGCTATATAGTGAGACCTAGTCTGAAAAACAGCCTGTATTGGTCAGGGTTCTCTAGAATCAGAACTTACAGAATGAATCTCATACACACACACACACACAGAAGCTAGTTATAAATGGAAAGTTAACAATCTAGTAGCTGCTCAGTCTCATGAAGCTGGGTGTAGATATGGAACCTGAAGTAGGTTCCAGTGCCAATGAATTAGTCTTTCTGTCCCACCAGCTACTCCCAATAATGAAACAGACTAATTATGAAAGCTCAGCCTAAAGCTTGGGCTTGTGCCTAATTACCTCTTATAATTTAAATTAAATTGTAGACAAATTTATATTTGTCTACATTCTATCACATGGTTCTATCACATGGCATTACCTCTTCTGTCTTGTACCTCTTTCCTTTGTCTCCTGCATACTTTGATTTCTTTTTCCCTTTCTCTGTGGAAATCCCACCTATAACTCCTGCCTAGCTACTGGCCATTCAGCTTTTTATTAGAACAATCATAGCAATAATCTTCACACAGTATACAAATATTCCACAAGTGAAGGGATGGATGTACTGACAAGAGCAAGTAGGCAATGACTTCCATTGTCTTTATATATACTTCAGAAGGTGTGGCCCAGATTAAAGGTGTGCCTTCCCGCCTCAAGATCTGTATTACAAGTATGCCTGCTATTTCTGGATATTAGTTCATTCCAGATACAGTCAAGTTTGCAACCAAGAATAGCCAATCACAGTCCACCCCCTTTTACCAGGTCATAATGCCTAAACATAACTCCCATGTACAGTTGCAAATGCATTATATATTTAACCAGCTCATAATTATACTTAACTATCCCTCATAAACCACAAACAAAATTTAGGATAGTGGTAATGTCCTATGTTAAATTTATATGTGATAACCATTGGTACTCTTAATTGGTGTTGCAACATTTAAGGAAATTGAAAGAACACACAAATATGTTCTTCAAATACGACAGAAGCACTCATGTTTGCTATAACTCTCATTTCTTCAACTGGTCTTGTGGCCTTCGATGGTCTTTAGAACTACCTTGCTCTACTATGTTCCATGCTCTTGAGCACCTTGGCTCAGGTTTATCCTGGAAAAGTGACACATTCATTTCTGGTGGGTTTTGTGCCCTTTGCCATGCTGCCTGGATTAGGCTGTTGTGGCTTCCCATTAATTTTAATCACAGGCCATGGCAGCACCAAGAGTAAAGGAGATCTAAAGGATCTCCACTCCAGATGACCCTTCTTACTTCCATTATGGAGGGAGCAATCTGGATCTACCAATCCTAATATTGTTATTCTTGTTGGTTTAAGGGTACTAGCAATTGAAAGTGACAGGAATATCTGAGCTTCCAGTCCAATGGGATATTTATTGTGGATCCTGGCAAGAGCACCCCCCCTTTCCACCCCACTCCTGGAACCAAAACTTTTAGGCTTGTGGGAACAAGAGGCAAAAATGTCCATAATGGTCACTAGGGGTGATAGTGGAACCATTCCCCTTTCCATCCCTTGATTCCTGAACTCTTGGGTCCTGCTTATGGGAAGGGAAATATATATATCACATACATACATACATACATACATACATACATACCTACATACATACACACACACACATATATGTATATTGGATGCTGATTCAAAGGATATACCACCATCTGGAGAATCCTGCCCCAGCCCTCCATGCTGTCACCACTTAATTGGCACTGTAACTGTCTTTAAAGGCCATAATATTTATCAGGCTAGCTGCTTCAGGATGGTGGAGAACATGATAAGACAGTGGATTCCATGATCGTGGGCCCATGTCTCCCTTCTCTGGTTGTGAAGGGAGTTTCCTGATCAGAAGCAATACTGTGGAATACCATTGGTGGGATCAGGCATTCTGTAAGTTCATGGATGGTGGTCTTGGCAGAAGCATTACATGCAGGAAAGGTAAATCCCTAACTAGAATAGGTATCTTATCTACTCCAATAAGGACAAAGCATTGTGCTTTCTACAGAGGAGGTGGTCCAATGTAGTCAACCTGCCACCAGGTTGCTGACTGATCACCCCAGGGAATGATGCCATATCTGGGGCTCATTGTTGGTCTGTGCTGCTGTCAGATCTGGAACTCAGCAGCAACTGTAGCCAGGTCAGCCTTGGTGAATGGAAGTCCATCTCTGCCACCATGGCCACTTTGTTCATGGGGCCATTGGGCAGTGACAGGAATGGCTGGGGAAAGAGGCTGACTCTCCACAGAACAAGTCTTGATTATTGAACTCCTCAGCTGAAGTTACCTTTTGGTGAGCATTTATATGGGACACAAGAATCTTCATATTCTTCACCCGTTCAGAGAGATCTATCCACATACTTCTCCAGATGTCTTTCTTACCAGTTTTCCAATCATATTTTTTCCAAGTCCCTGGCCATCTAGTCAATCCATTGGCTATAGCCCATGAGTCACTGAAAAATCATACATCTGGTCATCTCTCCTTCCAAGCAAACTGTATGAACATGTGTACTGCCCAAAGTTCTGCCCACTATGAAGATTTCCCTTTGCCAGTATCTTTCAATGTTGTCACAGAAGAGTTGTAATACTGCAGTTGTCCACTTCTGGGTTCGTGGGCTGGCATAAGTGCAGAACTACCAGTAAACCAGGCCCTAGTCTTAGTCAACTGGACATATGCAATTATATAGGTGCATGCTTGGCAGCAGACAGCATTGTAATGGGAGTATAAACCATAGGCATTTGGGCAACTTCATGTTTGATAACAGATTGCTGCTGCACATGTCCTACTTTATGATTTGGTGAATTCAATGTCACCCAGCTCATGATGGGCAATCAGGCCCAACCATGTGTTTGGAGGAATTTGGACTTTGGTACTTTGGGTTATTAAAGCACTGCTTAATAACCATCCTACTAGGAGCCTGGATGACAGAGGTGTTCAGAGTTATTTGGCTGGGTGGTGGTGGTGCACACCTTTACTCCCAGCACTCAGGAGGCAGAGGAAGGTGAGGTGGAACTCTGTGAGTTCGAGGACATCCTGATCTACAGAGCGAGTTCCAGGACAGCCAAAGTTGTTACACGCCTTTTCTAACCCTGTTTAGAAAAACCAAATAGAAAAGAAAAAAATTATTTGCACTGTTGGGGACTCACTCAAGAGGTTTCAGGGGAAAAGAATTTTAGTATGTTTCCTAGAGATCATTGTTGTTATATTTTGGTGAAGTGATTGCCTTTGCCCTTGTCCGAAGAGTCTGCCTGAGGCTAAAGTGAAGAGTTTTATATTAATTCCATTGACAGAAGCAATCTCAAAACAGCCTAGTATATATAGACTCTGTCGTGTTTATTAATGGTAACTCTAATGAAGATTTATAATGAAAAGGAGCAAACTGAGCAGGGTAAATTACAAAAAGTAAATTTTGAGGAGAAAAAAGGCACCAGGAAGTGGAATGGAGCTAAATACTGTGTTCAAGGAGATAAATGGATTAAGAAATGGAATAAAGGGAATGGTGACCTCAGGGCAAGACCCCACCCAGCTAAGTTTCCAACTCCTGAAAGGAACTAAAAAATTTAGAGTTTGGTGTGATGGCACACACCTTTAATCCCAGTGCTTGGGAAGCAGAGGCAGGCAGATCTCTGTGAGTTTGAAGCCATCCTGGTCTACAATGTGAGTTCTAGGACAGCCAGGGCTACACAGAGAAACCCTGTCTCAAAAAAAAAAAAAAAACAAAAGCAAACAAACAAACAAACAAACAAAAAAACCCAAAAAACCAAAAACCCCAAAACAAAACAAAAAAACAACTTTGTTGAGACTGTGACAGACTATGGGGCTTTTGAAGTTGGACTAAATGCATTTTGCATTAAGATATTGTTATTAGTTTTTGGGTGCCAGGGAGTAGAATATGGGAATATGGTAGTTTGAATGTAATTGCCTTCCCCCCCTTAATTTCATGGGGAGTGACACTATTAGGTGTGGCTTTGGTGGAATGAGTATGCCTTGTTGGAGGAAGTATGTCGCTGTGGGGGTGGGTTTGAGGTTTCCTATGTTCAGGTAAACCACCCAAAGTGTCAACTGACTTTCTATTGCCTGCAATCTCATCTCTAGCACACTATCATGCTCCCAGTTATGATAACAGACTGAACCTCTGAAACTGTAGGTGAGCCACCCCAATTAATTTTTTTTTTTTTGTAAGAATTGCCATGGCCGGGATGGGAGGGTGGTCAGGGTGTATATGAGGTGAGAAGGAGGGTAAGAGGGAGGGAGGGAGGAGAGGAGAGGGAACTGGGATCGACATGTAAAATTAAAAAAAATAATAATAATTAAAAAAAAGTGTTGCCATGGCCATGGTGTCTCTTCATAGCAATAAAAACCCTAAGACATCTTTTTTAAACATAAATGTGTTTTTCTTTTTGGTGGT